GCCCCCCGCCTCTCGGGGTCCCTCTGCGCTGGGTGGAGCGGAGCGGCCAGGCGGTGCAGTCCACTAGAGGAAACTTGAGAGGCGGCGGTGCCCGCTCACTCTGCTGGGCTCGGCCTCTGGAGAACGCTCATTGGCCGGCTCAGCCCCTGTCCGCCCGCCCTGCCCACAGTAGCTGCAGCTTCTCCCCGCCCTCTTACCCTCCGGGGTTCGCTCACTGCCTCAGTAGATCTGGACCAGGCTGCCACAGGCCAGGCTCGCCCTCTGGGATGCACTGAGCTGTACTCCGCCTCTCCCCAACTCCTTCAAAACCAAGTTAAGTCTTCGTTAACCAGCTGACTTTAGGCGAGGGAGGGTCACGTGTGTAGAGAAAGTACCCAGTGACTGGACATGAACCGTTTTGTTATTGTTGTTTGTCTGTTTTGTTTCGTCTGCCTTGCCATCCTGGTCCTAGGCAAATAATCCCCCGCCGTGATCTACTCCCAGAGCCCCCATCAGCTCGGCAGTGGGTGTTGGGGCGTTCTGAATAGAGTACGCAGTGAAGAGGAAAGATACCCACACGCACCCTATGTGGCGGTTGGTGGGGACGGGAGACATTGCTGGATTCTCCCAACAAATTTAATGGGTAAGATCTAGTAGCCCTTGTGAAATTCTAAGTGTTCTGTTTTGCACATTTTACAAGCATTTGATTTTCTCGTTTGCGCTATGATTGCTTTCCAGTGCCAGTTATCCTCCCATTCCAACCCTTAGAGGTTGATACTACAGTTTAACCCACGTGTGCAAAGGATATTTGCAGAACCAGAGTGGCAAAATGGTGAATGTCCCCCAAGAAATGGGTGTTTAAAAGAACACATAGAGACGTGTACCAAATGACAGATGAAAAGGTAATCGGAAATCCAAGAGGCAGATTAAGCTTAAAATTATTACATTTTAAAGAGAACTGGAAATGTTGTTTTCGTCTGTTTTAACTGGGTGGAGAACGGGGAAGGGAGAGCGCTCTCTCTCACCCACCTGGATAAGGTGTGGGAAGGTTAACAAAAGTCAAGGCAAATTTACTCATCTCCACCAGGGGGAGGAGTTCAGATGGGAAAAATGAGAACATCTGTAAGGATCTTGATCTTTCTCTTCACCAAAGCTTCCCCAGTTTGTCAAACAACTGACTCAAGGGTTGCATTCTCCCCACAATTCTCTTACTTTGCAGCCTCTTTAGTTCTGAATAGCCTTGGCCCCACTCCACTTACTTTCTTCTTACATCTTCATGTTCAGCTAAAAGACTGTGCCAATCTTTTTCTCTTTGCCTTTTTTTAATTTTAAAATTGTGTGTGTGTGTGTGTGTGTGTGTGTGTGTGTGTGTGTGTGTGTGTGTGTGTGTGTGTGGGTGCGCGCGGGCGGGCGGCGGGGCTTCTCTCACCTTGTGGATCCTGGGAACTGGGGATTGAACTCTGGTTGTTAGGATCAGCTCGGGGCAGGTGCCCTCACTGAGTCATCTCACTAGTTCTGGGTCATCATTTTAACGACACTTGTGCCAATAAACTAAATTTTCTTGCTATCAAAGTCACTCTCCCCCAAAACCTGATTTTAGCTTTCTCTGGACCCACAGGCATCATTGCTAAAAGTTTCCATAAAGAATATATTGGCAGCAAGAGAAATTTCACACCATCATCCTCAGCTAGTCTCTGGAATCCCATATTCATCATGTCAATTTCAAAATTCAGGCCACCATTACTATCTCAAATTCTCTACTCTGCTCCAACCAGGAGTACCCCTGTACGCCTTTCCAACAGTGTTCTTATTTCCTAGTTTTTTGGTGAAAGAAACAACATTGAACCTCTTGATTTTTCACCAGTAAAACGTGTGTGTATCCACTCTTGTGTTAATTCCCTCTGTAGCAAGGATATTACTTTGCAACATAAAATTCATAGCTGCCAGTATGGTTTCACTTTGCTCTTTTCCTTTTTAAGCAAACAATGTGGCTCTGGACTCATTTGGGGAAAAGGATATGGCTGAGCAGAAATGTAAATAATTCTGCTGTTTCCTTCCAAAAACCCCAAGCCCCAAGTATTTTTAATGGAGACATTAAAAATACAATTATCCCACAGCAACTCAGAGATGGGAGAGGGCCTGGGGTCATGCTCAGTTGACAGACAGCTTGTCTCCTATGCATGGCACCCTGGGTTCCTCCACCCAGAGACTGGGGAGAGGGGGGATTAAATGGAGAAGGAAGTATTATTGGACTAGGGGATTTACAGAAGACACAGATAACAGGCGCTAGATAAGGAGTGGCAAGGACCACGCTCAAGCTACCCTTCTTGAGTGCAATGCCTACCAATCGAACTGCTAGTAGAGACAGATGAAGTTAGGCATCCTTTTGACCTGTCCAGGGCCTAGTTCTAAAGGCCTTGCCACAGCAAGAACCTTGGTTGAAAACCCCACAACAGCTTTGGTAGGAGTTTTGGAATGAATGGGACGCCTTAATTACATTGTGGCTATATCACAGTCTGGCCTGGTTAATATAGATAACAGAGATGATATCCATGAAAAGTGGGATTGGAGGAACTGATTTAGAGATGACCTGGAAGACTCCTCACTGAGGAGTAGTTTTCATAGTATAGGAAGCAGTTCTGCAAGCTAGCAATAGAGAAAAGCTGTAACACCTAAGAACCTAAGAACCACAGAGACCAGCAAGGCAAGATATCCAAAAGGAGCAATAGTTGTACTTATATCCTAGGGCATTCTGCTTCAAGATAGTCAACTCTAAAAAACAAAACAAAACCTTAACAAACAGAATATGAAAGGGGGCTAAAGAGAAGGAGGTGATTCTGAAAGAGATTGCAGGGGAGGAGTGAGTGAATATGATCAAGATATGCTGTATAAAATTCTCAAAGAATTAATAAAATATTATATGGTAAAGAATATGAGATTCCTGCTAGTGGAGCAGATAATCTAACTACACATCTTCAACTCTTCTTTTGCTCCTCTAGGTGCAATCCTCCAGTCTCATCCCCAGCTCTGCAACTGACCATGTACTGCTGCTTCTCCTCTCTCTCTGCCCCCATTCCCAGGGTACCAACCTAATCCTGGTGGAACACTCTGCTTTACTCCCTCCTGCAGAACCCCTTAGCACTCCCCACTCCTAGCCCACCCATTTTCTTATGCATCAGTTCCCAATATCTAGAAACACATTTTACCTGGAAACCACAGTGGCCCCACCTATCAGGATCTGTCTGAGTAACTGTTCTATTGATGTCAAGAGACTCCATAACCAAGGCAACTCTTAGGAAAGAAAGCATCTAACTGGGGGATTGATTACAGTTTCAAATGTTTAGTCCATTGTTAGCATGGAAGCAAGCAGGCAGGCACTGGAACAGTAGCTAACAGCTAGCTGTATCCTGATCTGTAGACAGAGAATATCACTGGGCCCAGGATGGGCTTTTAAAAACCTCAAAACCCACCCCCAGTGATACACTTCCTGCAACATGTCCACATATCCTAATCTTTCTAATACTTTCCAAAAGTTCCACCCCCCGGTGACTAAACATTCAAATATATGAGCCTATGGGGGCTATTCTTACTCAAACCACCACAGGATTCCAGAATTTCATGCCAGGCAAAACATAGACAACACCTTCTTCTAAGAACCAGAGAAGGCAACAGAAACCAAAGAACCCACTCAACAAACACAAGACCAGATATTATCACCTAGAATCACAATCTTCCTAAACCTAGATGCCTAGACTCCAGGGTAAAAACACAATGATGAATATGATAGAGGTCCATAAAAAGAAAAATGAATTAATCCCTTAAGGAAATATATGAAATCACAAACAGTGGAAGGATATTACTAAAAAAGTTAAAGACATAAAAATGGAAATAGAATTAACAAAGACAACTCAAATCAGTAAAGAAAACCGAGCAGAATCTGGAAATGAAAAATTTAGGAACTCTAACAGGAACCTGAGATATCAGCTTCACCAACAGAAGACAAGGGACTGAAGAGTGAATCTCAGGCACTGAGGACAGGACAGAAAAATGTATACCTTGATCAAAGAAACAAACATTAAAAAAAATCCTGGCACAGAACATCCAGGAAATCTGGGACACCATGAAAAGACAAAATATAAGAATAATTAGTGATAGAGGAAGGAAAAGAAACCCAGGTCAAAAGCACAGAAAATGCTTTCAACGAAATCATAGAAGAAAACTTCCCTAACCTAAAAAAGGAGATGTCTATCATGAGATAAGAAGCATACGGAACACCAAATAGATTGGACCAGAAAAGAAAATTCACTCACCACATAATAGTAGAAGCACTAAGCATACAAAACAAAGGAAGAGTATTAAAAGCTGCAATAGAAAAAGAACAAACAACATATAAAGGTAACTCTATTAGAATTACACCCAACTTCTCAATAGAGACTCTAAAAGCCAGAAGGGCCTGGACAGATGTCCTGCAGACTCTAAGAGGCCATGGATACCAGCCCAGACTATTATACCCAGCAAAACTTTGAATCACAATAAATGGAGAATAGAAGCTATTCCATGATAAACTCAAATTTAAGCAATATCTATCTAAAATATAGTCCCTACAGAAGGCATTAGGTAGAAAACACCAACCTGAAGAAGTTAACCACACCCAAGAAAACAAGGAATAAATTATCCCTGACCAGCAAATCAGGATGACAAGCATATACCACTACCAACAACAAAATAGTAGGAATCAACAACAATCATTGGTCATTGATATTTGTCAGCATCAATGGTTACATCCCCAATAAAAGACACAGACTAACAGAATGAATGCAAAACAGGATCCATTCTTGTTACATCCAAGAAACACACTTTAATAGCAAGATATTCCAAGAAGATGGCCTCATAAGCAAGCTGGTTATAGCCATTTTAATATCTGGCAAAATAG